TCCTGCTCCTCGTTGATCTGCCTGGATGCAGCACCACGAGCAGGTGGTGCTGGCTGTTACTGCTTACACACTGTGAATGGCTACGGGCAGACTGTTTTCCAGGGCTGGATCAGCCTGCCTCTCCATCCTCAAGTATTAGTGAGGGGAGCTGCTGTGTTCTCAGGACCTCCATCAGGGGCATTTATCCTCTTGCAACCAGATGGTCTCAAATGTGCTTTTCTTCTCCGTTCTCTCTTCCAGAATAGTGATGACAGCCAGGCTAAGAAACGCCTTTGGCCATTGCAGTTCTGATTTTGCAGTGAATTCTTCACCTCTCCTGCCAGAGGAGAGTCCTACAGCCTTACTCTTGGATTTCGTGAAATGGCTCAGTCCAGTTTTACTTTGAGTGGCTCATATTGTCAGTGGTTTAGACAGTGTGCTGTGTCCAGCTACCAAGGCTCCAGCAGCAGAGAGGATTCTGCTGGGCTTATCCCATCCCATCCTCTCCTGATCAGACTCCTCGAAAGGTTTTTCTTCTTGTCAGGGACCCTGGGCCCTGATAGGAACTTAATCTCGTCCCCAGGTGCTTGTTGGGATGGATTTCTCACCTCTTTGTGTTGGCAGCTGGCCTGTGTTGGGAAGATTTCGCAGAGAACAGCAGCACTGATACTAAAAAATTATGGAAGAGTAAGATGAAAAAAAATCAGTAGTTTTGTCTGCTATTGGTTTAAGCTACTGGAAGGCACCCTGGAAAAAGAGGCAAATTGCATCACTGAATTTATTTGCAGGTGTAAGACTTTGCAAGGCCAGAACCTGCAGCAATACCCACTCAGTACTACACCCAAGGACTGCTTTTTGCCCATTCTCTCTGTATATAAATTTGATGGGCTGAGTGGTTTTTTTTTTAGGTACTAAACTTCTTATGAAACTGTTTATGGGCTTCATTTTATGACGTTTCCCTGTATACTTGTGCTAATCACTTCCTTTGAACTGAAGGCAGACTGGATGGAAAGAATGGATGCCATCCTGACATGTCTCAGGTGTTTTGAAACCCACTCTTTGGTGTATAAAACTTTGAACTAGGTGAAGATACTTCTTGTTATTAAATATGAAGTGGATCCCAGAAAAGGCTCAGGAAGTCTCAACAGCTTTTTGTATCTGCTGTCCCTGGTCTATCCTAGACTTGACCTTAAACTTATGGGCCAACATTTGCTTTTGAATCTCTTCTAAAATAGAAATGGCAACCTCCTCTGGAGCACATGCACGTTTTGTTTTGGGGAAGAAAAGGTGCAGGGTCAACAGTAGGTTTAGAGTAAAATGTTTGGGTTTTGTTTTGTTTACAAACGATCAGGACTTTTGATTTTGTGGTGAATAATTTTAAGTGGAGAAATACGAGTGCTGAAAAGCAGCGTAATAATATGTCTGTGGAGCACTTTGAAGATGAAAAGCTCTATATACTGTAAACATCATTACCAGTGTAGCCTAATCTGTGTGGAAAAATTAATCTAGCATGAGCTAAGTGTAGATTTTTTTTTTTAAATGTACAATATAGTGTTTCAGAAGGTCTAATACACCCGTGTATTTACTTTCACATGGTAACATAAGAAATTTATCCTTTTATATTTTTAATATGTGGGTTGCAATGATTGACTCTGTTGTTACTTTCCACATGTAGAGTCGGTCCTAACCCACCACAACCTGTCAGAAATGTGAAATGTCTGGGCTGGGAGGGAAAATCGCTGTAGTTTTAAAGAGGGTATAAAAATCCTGTGCAATGAGAAATAGGTGCCTGTCAGCTATGGGAATGCTTGGGGGCTCAGCCATCCTGGATCCTCAGGCTTGTGCTGTGGCTTTGGAGAAGACTTGAGAGAACTCCAGAGCCAGGCAGGTGCCAGACCGTGGTGGGGAGGGAACCCCTGCCAGGCTGCTCCAGATAACTCAGCAGCTCTGAGGTGTTTTCACAGGCTCCCAGAGGAATGGTCCATCCCAGCCGTGGGAGAGGGCTCCTCACTGCTCCTCAGTGCACCACTGCAGCCCCTGGGCAGCTTCTGGGAGCTCCAGGCAGCCTGGCTGGGACTCCTTTGGAAAACAAGTGTTGCTGGACAGTCTGACAGTAAGGAGTCGGTGTCTGAGATTTCCTCTCGGTGTTGTGGCACCATCAAACACAACAAACAGGGCAGATTCTTGTTCCCCGACACGGCAGCGCTCACCAGCACCTGCTGCAGCTGGAACTCAGCTTGGGCTTCTCTAGAACCTCTTCTGTCCGGTCGTATTTTGGATTTCAGGGTGTGTTTATTTTGTAGGGTTTGGGGTTTTTTGGTTGCTTTGTTGTGTTGCTGTTTTTGTTTTCCTCTGTTTTTGGACCTGAGTCTGATCATTTAGGTGCACAGTATTGAAGTAAGAAAGAAAACAACCCTCCACATCACCAAATACAATTTTATTTCCTTTTCTGGTAATCCACAAACGGAGGTTTGTCGATGTTTTATGGTGAGGAGGAAATTAAAGATTGAGCCAACTGGGTTTGCTGAGCCCAAGATCTGTGAACTTTCCACGCTACTGGAAGCAAAACTACAGCTTGAGGTTCAAACTTCTGTGGTGGTGCTTAGAAGGACTAAGTGATGGATCATTTGGTGTGTGCAGTTGGTCCCTCCTTCCATGATACCATGAACAGCAGGTTTGGGTCCTTGCTGAGATCACACTGGCCCTGGAGGATAATCCACTGCTTGCTCAAAGCCAAGATTAGGAGTGATGGTGGACCAGTCAGGAATTGAGAACAGACTTAAACTCACGCTGAGTGACTGTGAAGAAGCTTTAAAAAGCTGCAGGTGGCGTGGGGTTGTTCTTGCAGGGTTTATTTTTTATTTCCTATTTCATGAAGCAGAGTACTTAATTGGATAATATATTTCTCCTAAAGGAAGCTGAAAGAGGATATCACCGTTTTATCGTTCTGCAGTAACTCTGACAACTTAAAAACTGGGTTTTGTAAACTCCAGCTGACTATGGATTGGATCAGGTGTCACATACAAGAGGGTTTCAAAACATTTGATGAGTGTAGCTCTCTGATACTTTCAAAATAGAGTTATCTTGAATATAACACATCTTAATATTTTCTCATGGTTAGCAACAAGTAACAGCAAATCATCTGTTCAGGCCTTTTCAGCCAAGTAGTAAATATTCATGCAAACTAAAATGATTTTCTAGTGTTAGTCCCTCTGGGCTGAGCTTATTAGCTCAGGTGCAACTGCCTGGGAAGGCTTTGTAAGACTTTCAGACTTGAGCTGATGCTGCAAAAAGGGTGTGTATGGGTGTCTTGATCTCTTAGGTAATTATTTATTTGTTGGATCTGAGGTGGGTGATCTTCCCCAGAACAGTGGCTAGCTCAATCAAGGGCCTTGAAGAGGAATTTGAACCTTTTGCTCAGTCCATCAGATATGATTAAACCCTTAACCTCTGGAGAATACCAGGATAGCAAGAAAAATAAACGGATATACATGTCAGTGATTCAGAAAAGAATTGCAAGAATGAAGTATCCTGCTTTTCCCTGTGAAAAGCAAAGATTCACATCTTTTCAGCTTCCTCTCAGGAAAAATACATTTGGAATATCACAGACAAGTGGAGGTGGGAAGAAAAACTTTTAATATTTACTCTCTGTTTGAAGATTTGTTTTCTAAGTTGTACTTTAAGGATTGTTTCTTTTTCAGCATTCCAAGGCCACAGTGGAGGATGCTGTTATCACACTAATAACTTATTTATATACAGGGCAAATTCTTTGATTTGGCTTAGCAGTGTTAAAGAATTGTAGATGCCAAACTGGAAATAGCTAAAAGTAATTTTCCTTAATTGTTCTCATAAATATACAGTTAATAAAGCTGGTGGATTCCATCCAAATCTTTCTCTAGTGCTCATCATTTTCGAGGGATGGTTCAACTTGTCACATCTTGACTTGATCTCTAAAGGGAAGTCAAATTTTGGGTATCTTCCTGAGGGGAAGGAAAAAAAAGATGGCTGATAAATTTCAAAGGGATTGATTGTGATCAATAACTGTGGTTCTTAAGGAGAGGGGATGCTGCAAACAGCGCTCTGTGGGGAGCTCCAGAGGATGGTGCAGACCCTGCAGGAGAGGATGTGCATTTTGGGGCTTATACTTAGAATTAAGACCTGCTTGGCACTTGCTCAGTAGAGACTGAGACTGGAACAATCTTTCTTTCTTTGTAAATGGCTAGATTAGAAGAACAGCAGTAGCATTTAATATTCCACCTTTTCTGGGGTAATTGCACCCAGGGCAGCTGCCCGCCTTAGGAGCAGCAATAATTTAAGTCTTGCAAATCCCATCCAGGTTAAGGGAACCACCACTAACCCTCTCTTGCACTTTCCTTTCAGTGAGGTGCACAGAGAGACTGGGGAGGATGAGTCCCAGTTGCCAGTTTTTTGCACTTTCAGCGGGAGTCAGGTTGCAAAATACCTTGATGAATCAAGTGCTGAACTGATTTACCCAGGGTCATTTGGGAATTTAAGTAGAACAAAAGTAAAAGCTGAATTTCCTCAGCCACAGCCTGACAGCCTCTCCTAGTTCAGTGGAACTGCAGATGATTGAGCCCTTCCATGTTTGGGTTCCTCACTTTGTCACCTTCCTCCAGAAGGCAGTTGAGTAAAGGGGCATCTGCAATACCCTTGTAGAATATGTATGAAAACAGGATAGTGGCCATGACACCAGGCTATTAAACAGATGACAACTCTAATGAATTAGTTGATTTAAATTTATTTATGTGGTTGGATTCCAGAACTTGGTGGTTAGTAATTTCTGTAGATTTTTGCCTTGTATCAGGTATTATTTTCTTGAGACTCCAGTATGAGAATTCAGCAGTTTTTATAAAGTCATTCCATTAAAGTTACGTTTTCCTTTATACTCTTGAGCTTCTGCTTTCTCCCATTCCTATCTTAGCAGATGAGCAACACTTTGAGGCCAGAAAATACCCAAGATACCCTTACACTTAATATTATCCCTTTGCTTTATGTTGCAGCCAAGAGCCTGCACATCACTGCCTACTTCATGAAGAGATGGGTTCATCTCCGCTGCGCTTTAGGGAAACGTTATCGTGGTAAGAAATCAGCTTCTTACAGAGTTACTCAGAATTTTGTATTCCTGGGAGGAAGAAAGAGAACATAAACTAATACTTTTTGATATTTTGGTCTACTTAATCAAAATTCAGGTGTTTTTTTTTTTCCAGAGAGTGTTTGCTAAAAACAACAAAAACAACAAAAAAAGAGAAGTGTTTCTTAAGATAAGCTGGATTCTTTTTTTTTTTTTTAATTTAATTTTGAATGTGTGTATGCCTTGCCCCAGGGTAATCAGCTCAACCACACCGAATTCTGTAAGTATGATGAGACTCAGCATTTTAGTGAGTCTCTGCAGGGTGAATCAAGCAGAGGCTGCAGCATGAATCACTTCATTATTGCTGCAGTGTCCTGTGACATCAGTGGTGCAGTGCAAGTGGATGCAAGAAGGGTTCTCGTTCACCTCAGAACTATAAAATCTTGACGTGGGTGATGTCATTGGACCAGATCTTGTTTGCAGGTTTTCTCAAGCCAGGATGCTCTGTAAGGAAATGATATCAGTCCTGCCCTGCCAACAGCAAAGCAGAGGTGCTACAACCATCATTGCCCTTTGTGTTGACCTTTTCGTATTAAAAGAAAAGAAATAGCAAAATAAATCAGGTTTCCTTAAAAATATTGAATGGATATTTTTAAAAAATGTCTTGGGTTTTATAGGAATTTATTATATTCATAAATGTTTAAATCTGTCTTCAACTAGTTGTTTTCTAAGTCCATGTTGGTTGAAAAGATTGGAGTGTTGGCTTTAAATAATTTATCAAACTCGTTCTCTTGTTAGAATAGAATAGCAGAGTGTCTGCATTGGAAAATCTACATTGTTTGCTGTGTATTAAATTTGAACTGTTTTAAAGCATCAATGCCTACCCAAAGATGCTTTCATTTTGTTAGCCAGCAGGTGAGATTGTTATAAAATGCAACAACTAAAATGCTTAACTGGAATGAACTTGCCCTGCTCTTCAATTCTACCAAAAAAAAATCTCTGAGACCAACCTCCTGGGTTTTTAATGCAAGCCTTGCCTCTTTCTTATCCCACAAAATAGGGTGGTATGGCTTGGGTTGGAAGTATAACAAACTTTCAAAATTATTGACTCTCCTTGTATAAAATCAAAACCAAACCCAGCAACCAAAGAAATGCAGAGCTGAAAATATAAAATATGAAGATGCTGTGATGAAAACACTCGCCACCAGAACAGAAAGAAAATCATCATTAAGTGGTTTGTCTGTTGGTTCTCCCCGTTGTTTCTGTTCAGAGGTGCAGGTGGACTAATTTGCAGCCATGACTGTCCTCTTGGGAACTCAATTTGCTTTTCTTATTGATTTTTTAAAAGTTGTTAAAAAAAAAAAACAAACAACAACAACAAAATAAAAGGGGGGTTGGCATGTTGAAGAGAGGAGGTATAAAGCTAAAGGGGTGAATGAAACGAGTTAATGTGCAATTTAAAAGTATAAATAATTTTTTTAACTGAAGCAACATGTCTATATGATGTCACTGTGTGTGGGTTTGAAAATGTTTTTCATTTCTGTAATCTTCTTTTCCATTCTTTCTGTGTAGAGCTGCGTGTGTTTCCGGAGAAATTTGTAGTTTGTGTCAGTAAACTTGACTTTGATCCAAGTGCTTGGACAGATGAAAATGGTGAATTGGTACGTACAAAATCAGTCTGTAAATTTTGTGGGGGTTTTTTATAGGAGTAAGATGATTATTTATTTATATATATATATATATATATATGCATGTATGCATTTATTCACCTATTTGTGACTGTCATCTTGGAACCAGAAAGCCACATTAACACTTGGGCCGAATTATTTGAAAGGACAATCTGAAGCGAGCCTAAGGCAGAGAAAAATTGGAATTTTTGAAAACTTTAGCTTAGAAAGGTTTATTTTTTTTATAAGAAAAAAACCTCACGTGTATTTAGAAAGCTAAATGATTTAGGTGTAATATTAGCACCTTTACTTTCCAGAATTATAGTGAAGTGGTTTGTAACGTCCCTGGGTTTCTTGTGTGTTTTCTTAGCACTTGTTCTGCAGAGCAACTCAAGCGGATCAGTGCTGGCCCTGCTGGGAGCAAAAATCCCCAAACATTTATGGAGGGAAAGGCACTGGTGTGTGGTTAAATACCATAAACAATTCTACTTAAATATTTCATCCTGAAGGCTTTGTTAGGGTCAAAGGCTTGTGAATGTTACGCTGCAGTTAAGTGCTCACACGGACCCAGGTGCTGCTCTTGTGGCTCACACTGAGGGTCACAATTACACCCTGAGCTCTGGGTGTGCTGTAGGAGTTTTATCTGACATCTATTAAAGTAGAGTTGACCATTGGAAAAAGAAAAAAAAAGGGGTTATTCTACTCATTCAACTTCATCTTTTTTCTAACACCAAGCAGGGTGTTGGTATTTCTAACACTAAATGCAGATTTTATTGTCTTGATTCCTAGATTGGTACACATCCTTCCATGTCAAAGAATCAAGTGTTTTTCACACTCTCAGGAGATAATCTACTTGCTTTAGATCTACTTGCTTTAGAAGTACTTTGCTATTTTGAAAAGTATTACTTTTTCAGTGTTGTCTTGAAAACTACTTAATGCTTGATGTAGAAAATTCAGTCTCTGCATTTTGACTGGGAAATAATTATGGGTTTTTATTCCTTGCTCAAGTATCTCCTATGAGATATCCAATTCTCCCATTTGGTATTTTTAACCTTTCCATAAAATAAAAGCCGAGGAGTCTTCTTTAATTTCTTTCATGTGATTTTTGTATAGGAAGGAGAATGAAAAATATTATGTGCTTTAGCTTTACTATTTCAAAATTCGATCTCAACCTGTGAAAAACTCCTTGTTGTTTAAAAAAATCAGGCTTTAAACTGATTTTTTTTATATTTAAAAACCCCCAGGTCTTTTAGTGGGGTCATAACCTAATCAACCAGATTGTCCAGAATTCCTACAGCATGGCAGTACCAAATTGGTCATGCACTGCAGCTCAGTAACTTTGCCAAACTGCAGGAGTGTGGCAAAGAATCCGCACTTTGTGTGTGTGCTTCTCCCTGGGCACTTTGCAGTGAGTGGGCTGGAACTCCGAGCTCTGGGCTACAAAAGACCACCCAGAAGACCTTTCCGCTGATCCGCTCCAGCATGTTCTGTCATGGGCTAAAAATGAGGCTGTGTTTTGGTTTCCTCTGTATGTTGTTTGGGTTTGAATAATGTCACAGTGTCGGTGCAAGTTCTTTTAAATGTTTAATCAGCTCACACCCTTGGTTTTGAAGGCCAATTCTGTTCTAGAAAAGCAGTTAACTGTACGTTAATGGGGACTTGGTCACTTTTTTTGTGTTGCTGAATGTTAGTGCAAGTGACTTACTCAAGACTTAACAATTATTTATATTTTTAGACTGCTTTTATGCTGTTCTATGGTGTGGGTCAAGCTTTCATTCCTGAGCTGTGTTAAGACGAGCTCAATGCTCCACTTTCCCAATACTTGAAACCAATTTTACATCAGCCTGAGACACCACAATTGTCTTCCATCACCTGTCTTCAGCCCTCTAGTCTTTGCTTTTTCACTGCTTTTTAGGCTATTCTCTGAAACAGGCTGTGCTTAAACCATAAGTTTCGGGGGATGTAGCCAGCTGTGAAATGAAATTTTTATGTCCTGCACTGTAGGAAAGATCATAATGAGATTGCTTTTGAGATATTCCCAAGCACAAACCTCAGCACCAGTTGCTGAGAGAAGCAATTTGAATCCTTCTGTGATGCCTCTTGTAAGACTAAGGTTAAGGTAGATTAGACAGTCTCTGTCAAATTAGCTTTAAGCCAAAACTAATAAAATATTTGGGAGCACTTCTAAGCAGCAGAGCTGAAATAAAGTCGGAGAAAATCTATTGATATGTAATTTCCCAGAATCTATTTATAAATGGGCATGTCTGTGGTTACATTTAAAAAATAAGACTGCAGGCAGTAATAAGCACTTTGGAAGGTGGGAAATCTCTGCTGAAGAAACAATATGGCAAGTTATTGAAATTACATAAGCAAATTGGAAGTCTCAAGGAAAAGATGGAAGAATAGCTGGGTGATTTAATGCTAGGTTTAAACATAAACCCATTGTTACCTGGGCTTGTAATCTTAAATAGTTTTATCTTGAGAAAGAAGACGGTTTTGGGAACATGGCAAAAGAGGAAGCCCAGGGAAATATGTGAGAGCTCTGGAGGGTTTAGACATCTTTGTCAATGACGACATTTTCTCGGGGATTATTATGTAGAGAGCTGAGATGGAAAATTGGAAATGGGTTATCTGGAGAAACAGTGGGAATGGAAATGGGTGGAATGGCTTATGAGCATTTGAAAACGTGCTAACAATGGAGTATTCATTGATAACACATTGGCTTTATAGCAGAATCTATGAGAGGAAGCACTAAAGGGAAAGCATGAAGGAGGTTAAGCTAAAGATGAGATTAAATGGAAATTTGAAATTACCATTCATGGGAAATCAGAAAAGAAACAAGAGTAGGAGATCCTGTCTTTATTAAAGAGATCTCAGTGTTTCCACTGAGCCTTGTGAAGTGACAGCAAATATTATACAAAAAATAAAGATTCTTTTCCAACAGAATATTGCTCTTAAAAAACCCAAACCAAACAAAAAACCCACAGAGGTACACAGGGAAAAGAAAATTGCTAAAGATGTGCCCAATGCTTTTTCAATCCCCAGCAGAGAAATAAAAGAAAAATAAAGGAGAAAATGTTCTTCATACATGTCTGATTTTATAAACTGTTTCATTGTAACCCACTTCAGGAGCATTAGACAATTCTCTTCCTTAAAACTTTTAAGAGCAGAAGTGACAGGATTTTTTGGGGTTTTGATTCTGCTGGGAAGAGGCTTCTGGTTCTTTCATGAAAACATGAACTCTTAACTGTAATTACAGGAGACTGGTAACATTGGAGTATGGAATGCTGGAATAGTGTGGCTGTTGGAAGGTGGAATGAAAGCTCTTTTCAGACAGCAGCAATTTGTAAAGATCAGTACAAGACTTCATGTGGAATTTAGTTATCTTAAATACTTTAAAGACTTATTGTGAAGTGGTATCAGATTGGGTAGGGGAAGAAGGAAATGCTGTGCAATAGAATTGCCCAATTCACACTGGAAGTACTAATGTTGGCATGGAACTCTGTGTGTGTGTCTCTAAAATATCACAGTGAGGCTGCTGTAATGGGGGGCTACCACTGGAAAGGTCAGTCTACATCCCCTCTACTTCCAGCTACGTATTCCTCTTCTTTCTGCTTACAATGGACCAAGTGATTCTTCACTGGAGAATGAATTAGTTCATTGACTGGATCTAGCAGTAAATTATTTATTTGTGCAGTTCCTCTGGTTTTTATTGGAGGATTAGTTTTCCATCTTGCCAGTTCACTGAACCAACTCATCCTGTGCCCACACAACTGCCAATTGTGATGCAAAAAAATGTTGGAGGAGCACACAGGGAGGATTTTTGGATGAGGGGAGCAGGACCATCCCTTTAGGTAGCAGCTGATAGTTACCCTGGTTTGGAAGTAACATCCACAACACACATTAATGTTACACTTGTTGTAATATTTGTCTTGTTGCTGTTTTTTTTTATGTCATTATCCTTTTAATTTTTGTAAAATCTTGTTTCCTTGTGATTTCAGATAATATGCTGAATTCTTTTCAGTCATTATAGGAAGCATAGAGGAAAACAATATTAAACTGTAGTTTGGTAACTGTAAACGGGGTTCACTCCTTTTCTTTGGGAAGGTAGAGAGGGGAAACTACAGACTAATGAACTCTACCCAAATATCACAGAGTGGAACAGGCAAAGAATTGGTTTGGTGAGTTTTCACTTTTGACACTTCAAGCTTCTGTCATGTTATTTTACTCATCCCTCATGTTCTGCTCAAGCTGCTGCAAGACTGATGACAGTGAAACACCCAGTCCCTCCTGCCTTCTCTCCTGTTCCCCAGGCATTCTTGTCCCAGTGTCTGTCAGTACTGGCACATGTGGGGAAATAGGTTAATAGGTTCATTCAATAATCCCTGTGAAAACAAGGGTTGTTTTTGTGGTTTTTTTTTTTGTTGTGTGCATGGCTCGCTTTCAGCTGATCCCCTCGGTGTTGCTCCTCGGCAGGACCACGGTTTGGGGAAGGGTGACACTTCCCTTTCCCTGGCAGTGTAGCCTGAAATTATCTTGAATCACCAGGCTGCTCTCTCTGAGAAACTGCATCTCACAGCAATAATCCTGAACTCCTCCACTCGCTCCTAAGGACGCTCCAGCAGCTGTGCAATATTCCCTTTTGTCCCAGCTGCCTCTCCTTGGAGATCACCACTCCTACAGCAGGCTTTGCCAGCAGGGCTGTGTGCCTGCATCTCATCCTGCTGTGCATCACAGTCTTGTGGATTCATGCACACCAAACTTCCCTGCATTTTGAGCTGGTGCACTGACTTCAGGTGGGAGCAGCTGGGGCATGTGTGTGCTCCCTCTGCCAACTGTGCAGCGGGGCAGGAACCTCCTGCAAAAGGGGAGGGAGGAGGCCTGAGAGTGGTGATGCTGTGAGTTGCCTCAGTGAGATTTGTCTGAACTTGCCTGAGTTTCTTCTTATAGCTTCCAAACTGATTTATTTTCTGCATGGCAGAAGTCTTAAGGGC